CACATAGTTGTTGTGTTGTATTGTTGTTGTTCCTTCAAGTTGTCTCTGACTTATGGCAACCCTAGGCGACCCAATCACATGGTGGTCTTGGCAAGTTTCTTCATTGGGGTTTGTCATTGCCTTTCCCTGAGGCTGAGAGAGTGTGACTCACTCAAGGTCACCCAGTGGGGTTTCCCTGGCCAAGCAGAGATTCAAACCCTGGTCTCCAGGGTCATTGTCCAACACTCAAACCACTACACTACAGTGGCTCTCTTGGTTCATATTGCTACAATACTTCACTGACTGTGTGAATGTATTTTCACTGCATGTTTTTGTGATGTTGTCTCCATCACTTGTAGTTGTGAACTCTATAGTTGGGCAAAATAGCATGTGGTTCCAAGGCAGGGATGGAAATAATATTCAAAAATGCTCAAATGGTTGAAAAAATGTGTGTGTCAAGTACCAGAAAACCCTGACAAGGCGAATTCTGGAATGATGAGAATCATTGCAATTTGGGACTCACTCTCCACACATTTTGCAAGTGTTTTTTAAAATATTATTTTCTGTGCAGAAAAGCCTCTTTCCTACATAGAAAATTCTGTTTTCTGCATAAAGACATTGTACAAAGTTTGCAGACAGTAAGTCCCGAACTGCAAATCGGCTTCAGAAACTTGGCTGTTTTCAAAGACTTTCTCATAGTGGGAAGAAAATGGCAAAACTTACTCACCGCTTCATTTGAGAGTGAAATTACATCCCGTGTGCCAGGCAGACCAGAGAAAAGTGTCTCTGAGGTATTGGCCCTTTGTGCAATGTGTGTGTGTGTGCATGTGTATATGTGAAAACTTATAAGAAACCTTGGCTGGTGCACTTTTTATCCACCCCCCTGAGTCCATCTGCTAATTTCACTCCAGATTTCACTGTGGATTTTCAGCTTCCCAATCAAATCTCCAAGATGCTGAGACTTTGGGGTGTTAGGTCAGGCTTGCTTTTCAGTGTTGCTTAAAAAGAGAGAAAAAGAGAAACCAAATGTGTGAGGTATGCCCCCTCTCTCAGAGACTTGCTTTGATCAGCTATCCAAACCCCATATGTTGGCTAATTTTTGCACCCAGACTACACCAAGATCCCCTTTGCTGAAGAACAGCTGTCTGCTGCTTCCTAAGGTGTCACAACCACTACTGTGCTCAACTTGGTTCATTAAGGATCATGGATCACTGCGGGTGAATGTCTGCTGTTCTCGCGTCTGGGCTTCTGTCCAACACAGCGCAAAAGCAAAGCAGTGTGTCCTTTTTAAAGATTCCTTTTAGTTAATCTCCTTTCAGTGTAAGGCAAGCCCATGAAGAATCTGAGGAACAAGGCCTGGAGCTGCATTCTAATGCCACGAGACAGTCAGCATCGCTCTAGTGTAGCCCTTTGGCCGGCATCCTGTTAGTGACATAAGCAAGTATAAATCCACCTTACATATACATATGCATTTTATAGGTCATTGGTGAGTTTGCTATTCACTTCCTCCCACGGCAACATCCAAACTCCCTCTGCCCCAAGACTAATAAGCTTATCGCACCAGTACCTGTAACGTTCCCATCGAGTCCCTGGAACATAACGATATGGGAACGGGTGTTACCGCATTAGACTATTGATAACAGGATAGTAACATTATGAAAACACACATTATTGCACTGCATTTACTGTTGTACCGGTACCGGCGCTAAAGTGGTTCCTCAGCCGTCCCTCATTGGCGCATGCTCACTGTTGCAAAACCCCCTATGTCTGCATTGGAAAGAATGCTACCAAGAGGTTTAGGTAGCGAGCATTCATTGTTTTTTCTTGTAAACATGACACAATTCAATCTACAAAAATAAATAAAAAATAAAAAAATAAAAAAATAAATTACCTGTGGCACCCCCCCTTGCATCAACACCGGAAAAGTTGAGTTGAGTTTGTGGATGTTCTAGGACGGGAGGGAAGGAGGTTGTCTTAGCCAATCAGAACACAAGGACAGATTGAGACCGGGTAGGATTATCGCACCCACATAATCTAGAATGGTCTAAAAGCATTCTTGCTGGCTAAGGATGCATTTTTACAGTTCTCCTCCTGGAACAGGCTAGGGACTGTCAGAGCACAGAATGGGAACTCAATAAGGATCATACCATGTGATAAAATACATTCCGTTCCGTTCTCATCACATACTCTTTACGTTCCGAGAACACAGTGCAATAAGCTTAGTAGTGTTGTGCTGTGATAGCTCCCTGCTTGTGATGGCCGTTACAATACTGACGGAGAGTGGAGAAGATCAGAGGAGTACCTGTCTATGTTCCAGCTGCCAAATGCAAACTGATGACATCTTCCACTGAGACCTCCTGAAGGCCCAAGTAGAACTCGGTGGAAGATGCACTTGGTCTGCATCTAGTTATGGGGATGGATCTGGCTATGGGAAATATTCCTTGCAAAGTTTTGATAATCAAAAGCAAGGCACATGTATGGGAACATCAAGACGCAGAAGAACAATATTTCAGCAATCCATTGAACTGTCAAGGCTCCATCTGTAGAAACCTGGGATGTTTAATTTGGAGAGGTATTCAGCCTGGTCTACAAGAGAGCTCTGATTACACTTCCAAGGATTCTGTAGGATAGAGTCATGGCAGTTAAAGTAGTGTCAAATGGTGTTTTTCTTCAATGTGAATGTATCCTCAGACTGGCCCTGAAAACAAGACACCTTATTTCTAAAACAGCAGTAGGGAAATTGCATCCTGTGGGCCACAAACAGCCCAGATCTATTTTGTGGTCCCTGAAGCCCATTGCCTCAAAACCCCTGAATCCCCTGAATGCCATTTAAATAAAGTGTTATTTTCACCCCCAAATCATACCGAAACAGCCCAGAAACAGTGAAATTGCATTCCAACATCCTTTGTACCCTCCAGCCCTCTTCAAATTACCTCTGCTTTCAATTGGATCTCATCCAAAAATAGCAATGGGAAATGAAGTGACATCACTCCAGTCACCATTTTGGCCAAGAAATAGACAAAAACGGGGACATTTGGGGTTCTGCATGGGCAGGTGTGGCCCACAGGGATGTGCAAATTGCCCCGTATACAGTTGTCCACCTCTGTCTGAGGAGTTATTCAGATAGTGAAAATGATCTGGGTTGAATCTTTGGAGATTATCACATTTTTAAATAAAGCAAGTTATCTCTCTCATTTTGAAATCTATTCTGGGATGCAGCTGGGTTCTATCATACCCAATTTGCTGCCAATGCCACTTCTCAGCTACATCCAACCTAAAACCTGGCTAAAACCTGCCCTCAGTTGGCCAATTTGCCTGATTGGGGGTTTAAAAAGTGAATATCCCATAAAAATTGCACAATCGTGATTAAGATTTTCACATGACATCACAATTAAAGAGTCATTATCCCGGGAATAACCAGGGAATAACTAGCAACCAGCAACAAATCATTCTCGGTGAAATCCTGTGAATGATTTGTTGCTGGTTATTCCCAGGATAAGGGATCTTTAATTGTGATGTGTGTGAAAATCTTAATTGCAATTGCATGATTTTCATGGGATAGTCACTGTTTAAACCCCTGATTTCCCCCCGTGTGATAAACTCCCTACAGACAGAGGGATACCTGGAAGACCCTAGATTTCCCCTCTCCTCACTACCTTGGTGAGAAAGACTGTTGCTCCTGTTTGTTTAATTTGGTTATTACATTATATCAACACTCATCTTACCTCTTCTCTGTGCCAAATTCCAGCTGGCATTCAGCTCACAGCATTCAAGAGCTTGGCAAAATGTCCAGGATGCTCCTTTGAAGATTGAGCCACAACACTGGGCTGCCTTATTATTAGCGTTTCTGGGTTCCTTCCAAAGAGCATCCTATCTTCTCCAGTTCCCCCTTTCACTCTGCGACTATCTCCTCTGTGTGAAGACAATTCAGTCGGGTTAATCCATCCTGCAGGACTGGATGCAAGTCTCCCTTTAGGGTCAAGCTTGCCATTTGTCAAGAACTCCCAGTTCAGAGGAGATTTTGTTTATTGGCTGCGCATTTTGGATGCAGACTATTGCTGCAGCTCTTCCAAATCTCCTGAACAGCCTCTTGTCCTCCATTTGTTCTGTTTTGGCAGGGACAGCCCCAACCAATCCCTTGTGATCTCATTTTTTTCTGCTGCTTTTAAAATGTCCCAGTTTGTTTCTCTTTGTCTTCCCCCTTTGTCCTCTATTAATTCAGTTGCTGCAAAAGTGAGGTCAAATTGTAAAAGTAGTTTGCACTCATCTACCAGTGGACAAAAGAGAGAAGGGACAGAACCTTGCCTTTCCCAGTAGATTCAGGCAAAAGCAAAC